GTGTGGTACATACACAGCAGCCAGTTGCTTCTCTATCAAGGTGACCTCTGCTCCTTACCATTGTTGTGGCCAGGCTCTGGCCGGCAGCAGGAGCAGCAGCAGTGGCAGAAGCAGTAGCCTTAGGCTCGGGCCACAGGCCAGGGTCAGCGTGGCCAGCAGTGGTGATGGTGCCTGCACAACCACACAACTGTAGACGCATGTCCCTTGGCATGAGTACCGTTTCTCCCCATCATTTCTTGGGGTGGCCCTCCTGAAGGTCGCACCCATTATGACAGATTTCGGGTTCAGAGGAATCCTTCCTACTGCACCAGATATAAGTCTGGGAAGAGGGAATCCTGGGGCAAAATACCTCTAAAAACCGAAATCAGTCCAAGGGAGAAATAAAGTTTAAAATCTGTTTATTGCTCACAAGCTGCAGTTTCGGGCCGTCTCTCTTTCCTGCTCCAGCAGAAGTAAAACTGTCCCTCCTCCTCACCTCTCAGATACAGATAAACACTCCTTGCCCAGGTAATTAGCCATTGATATGGAGATGAACTTCTCTCCAACCCTGAGGAATGATGCAAATGCACTAAAGCCATACTTCTTTCCACCTCTGAATGCCTATTAATATGCAGATATCCTAAAGTCAAGTGAGATATTCTGGAAATATTACAATTTTACCCACAGGTATTATGTTTCCATTTCAGACATTCCACTGGAACAGATTTCCTGTCCCTCACCCTGCAGTAAAATATAGTTTATTCTATCTTCTTTTTACAGCAATATTTCTGTACCTGTGTCTTAGTTGAGAGTAGTTGCTACACCTCCTTCAGAGGCAGGTTGTGATTTTACTCTTCCAGGAAGCCACGGAGGACCCTTGGTTGTTCCCTGGGGCTGAGGCAGATGACTGCCCCTGCCTTAGCTGCTTGTTTTGGCTTCCTAGGGAAGAGCTGGGGCAGGACAACAAAGCCTATCTCCCCACAGCATCTGGTCTCTACTCACACACTCTGCTGCCAGGGAAGCTGTCTCTGATCTTCTGTCCAGCCTCTCATCTTTTCTGCAAGCACATCATGGAGGCTGTGGAAATTATCTTTAGAGTGATTATGTACATCTCATGTGTGGGAAGACCCTTAGCTCTTCCAAACTGATAAGCTAGCCTACACACAGACTGAGAATTTGTTAACATTTTAGCTGATTTCTTGCCACCTTCTTTGATGGCACCTCTTTCTCCTGTGTTATGCCAAGGACAAAATAATGCTTGTTCCTCATTAGAAATTAGCTTACTTGGTGAACTTGCAAACCTAGCTTTATTATATAACTCAGGTAAAATTATGATTTTGTCAATTTTACAGCTTTTGCTTTTTACCAGAGTAGAATTGACTTCTTGGCAGATTTCTACTTTCTAAGTAATGTCAGAATCTTCACATTATTTTTTAACTATATCATTTTCATTTTTTAAATTATATATAGTATCCACAGACTGTGCATATCTCAATTTGACTTCTTCTGTAAAGCATCATTTGTGACCACTTGTATAATGTGTGTTTATATTTTCTTATATATTTATCACTTAGATGATTTAAAAAAATTTGTTTTTATTTCCAATAAATTGAGAATGTTTTCTGTAGTGTTTTTATTTAATTTGTATTTGCAATTGATTTTAAAATGTACTAATAATTATGAGAAATATCAGAGAAGTGCTATATATATGCATACATATTCATTTATTAGATTTTAATATATTATTCAGATCCTATACATACTTACATACCCTTAATTTACTTAGTGTTGTGGAGTCTCTATAGTCAAGACCCAGTACTATTTTGTTTCTTTAAATTTCTGTAAGGAAAATTAGTCTGTAATTTGTAATTATATATATATATATATATATATATATATGTGTGTAATCTGTAGTTTATAATTATATATATATGTATACTATAGTGGGTAGTTACATAAATATTTTGACAATTATGTCTTTAAACAGCAACTATCATCATCATGAAGAACACATGTATATAGGTGGGTAGAAGACAGAGACTCTGTGATATGGAACCATTCTACAAACTTAAAGTAGGATCTTATATACCAATTCATTTTATTTAAATTGACCTTGTCATTCTAGATTTAACAGACAATCTGAAATATTAATGGGATATGTTTGAATATTAAAATTTAATTCTCCAATATTCCTAGATATTCTTCCATTTTGCATGTTAAAACACACACACACACAAATCTAATAAGGTGTTTAATTGCTGTAATATGTGTATAACTGCATGGCACATGGCACATTTGCACTAAAACTGACAAAATGAGATCATGTAATATTTCTGTCAACAATCAAATTTTTAAAACTATACAAAAATAACATGCTATTTATTAATGTCCTTAATCTAATCAATATATTTACTTGTGCTCAATTTTTAATATTTATTTCCCAGTGGGTAAGCAGAGGTACAATTGAATGACTCAATGATTGCCTGTTTTTAATATCTTTATACTTTCATGTATGTTGAATCCTTATGTTGATTATCATGAGACTTTTCACTTGAGCTTTGTGATATTGAGTAAGTACATAGATCAGGGTATAAAGAAACTTTCTGCTTGTTCATGAAAAAGCAAAAAGAATTTATACACATGAATAACACAGGCAATTTTCCAATTGAAGTAACAGCATATTCTATTGACGTGATATTTTTGCTTCTTCCTTTAAAAATGGGAAAAGTGTATTTACAAATAGTCTTCAAAACATCTATCAAACATTAAAACAGAACTATGTTTGGTATTTTAGTATGTTCTTTCTCAAGTTTAGCCAAATAACAATATAATCAAAATTTCATTATGAATTGGAAGACAAGTCTCAAAACACTGAGGATTTTATCACTGAACTTTAGTAAAAAACAATGAACAACTGTTCAAATTTTCTAGCTCATCAACTTTAGCTGTAAATTACTATAAAATCAGTGTGCAGTACTATTAAATACCACGTAGATAGGTACATTTTGCTCATGAATATCACTGAAAAGCTAAGTGTTTTTCCATTTACTAACAGAAGTATACAATTTATTCAATGAAAACGAACAAGTAAAATCACACTCGTGTGTTCTGGTTAAGAACTCAGTCTTCAAAGAAAATGGGAAAACTTTCTATGACTGGAGACTGCAGATCAGAATTTCTAGAGCAGGACTTTCAGAACATATTTCTATGTATTAAGTTTTCCAGGAGTGGTAAATGATATTAGAGTGTGTTTGGAAGAAAAATGAAAATAGACTTTTGACAAGGTGCTGCTTTTGTTCTCTTTACTCATTCATACAGTAACAGCTAAATAGTAGCTATAAGGACAGGTGATGTTAGAAGTGGCTCCTTATGAGTTCTTAGGGTGGTAACATTGGATTGTACATTTTCATCTTATTTTAGGATTGTATTGATGCTGTGGTAGCAACATTGTTCTTAGAATTTTTCTTGCTTTAAAATTTACATGACATGATAAGCTGTCAGATATAATTAAACATATTGTTTCAACCTGTAAAATCTTAACTAGTGAATGTGAAATACATTCTAATTAACTTATTTTTTAAAAGAAAACTGTGTGAGGAACTTTTGAGTGGGAGTTTGAAAGGTGATAAAGTTCTAAATTTCATTTTTTAAAAAGTGCCTCCACTTCATATGGATAATTAAATAGAAGGTGAAATGACTCTTGAAAATTATATTGGTTTGCAATACATGACTCTTCTCTGGGAATACATTCCACTACAGACCAATATTTTCATTTAATTTGTCTTTTATCTAAACCCTCATTCTCTTGCCTAAATATTTTTCTCTTTCATGACTTTCTAATTTCCATCAATGATGTCATATTTGAGACCTGTCATGTCTGTCTTTTTATAATCTGTATATATTCTGTTGCCAGTTCAAGTATGGCTCCTTACTAGCCGTTTCATAATGTATACTTTCAATTTACATGTTTTGTATGAGAGACCATAAACATATTTTTGCAGCAGCATCCCGACTGATACCTCATCCACTGACATCCCTTTTCTTTGGTCAAATCTTCATTTCATTAAAATAATAAAATTTTAAAGTGTTGTTTTCATTACCATTTCTCTTTTAAAAATATCGTTGAGTCCCTATTGTCTGGATTAAGTTGAAACTCTTAAATTGGTTTCATTCTTTACCTCCATTCTTCCAAATCAAACCATTTCCTACATTTTTTGCCTTATATATATCACCTTCTTTACATAAATATTTACTTTTTCCAGTCAGTTTTGCTCATGGACCTCCCCCACCCATCCCATTCTGACTTTATACCTTTTCTCATTACTATCACTTCAGGTTTTTTCCTGCTTGTTAAAGATCTACTCTGATATTAGAGCTTTTTAGAGCAATTACTTCATCTTCATTTTATCCTAGTTTTCCTTAACTTTCAGTTTTTGCACATATCCACCTTATTGATAAGATGATTTGCAACAAACTTTTATAGGGATAGGCAAAGAATAATAGTGATGCTGTGTGTTAGTTCTTGGTCTACATTTTCCTCTATCATCAAAGAAAGAAATATCTACCCCAGAAAATATTATAATACTACATATGCTTTTTTAAAAGGAATCACAAATGTTAGTATTTTAACTATTGCAATGCTAAAAAATGTAGCTCAGTATTTGTGTGATTAATAGTGTGAAGATGTGGAAAGAAAAGGTTTTTGCTTTGAGCCTACTTTTGAAACTCCATTCTGATAACTCATTCTTTTAATACACGAGAAGGAATTCTAAAGAAATAGACACCTTAAAAAGGATAAATGCCTTGCTTTAAAGGCATCTTAAGATACAAAGGGATATAGCAACTTGGATTTGATATAAAAACCAAACTAAATTGTTTTTTTGATTGATCTCACTTAACTTGCTTTCTACATCATCCCATCACCTTCAAAATAGTGTAGAACAACTGCCTAGGTCTACCATACTGGGAGGAGAAACAACACATTGGTGTGCACATTAAAACACTGACTGAACTCTCAAGGGTTAAAATGTAAGAGGTTTATTCTCCTTTAATCAAGCAAAGTCTACAGACAAAGCATCCACATGGTGTAAGCTACCAAAGAAGGAGATATGACACAGACTCACATTAAATCATTAGGTCACAGACACTCTATATGGTTCATGTTCACAAGGAAGAAAAGTGTTAAAAAGGAAAGCAGATAAGTAGAAACATAAGCTGATTTTTTGTTGTTTATTAAACTACTTCCCATAATGTTTCCTTAAGCTACTGTATATCACACAGCTCAGGAGGCTATATACACTTAAGATATTCCACACTATAAAATTTCAGTTTCTAAGCAGTTTTATACAATTTAAACTTGAGTAAAATTTGTGTTAAAAAAGACCTTATTGGATTACCTTCAGTAAACAGAGATCATTTCAACAGCCCATCAGCATTTTTAATAGCAATAAAATAAAAATAAGTAAAAGGATTCTCAAAACATGTAAACTATTACTTAAAACTGGATAATTATCTGCTTATTTCAGTAAACCAACTTTCTAGTTTTAATCCACATCTACTGGCCTTTTCTTTGCCCTTAAAAAAAAAATCAGTAATTCTTATTTCTATGCACTGTCTCAAATAAGATGATTAGTTAGGTCTCCAGTTAAACCAGACAATTATTAAGAGGGTCATTTAAAGATTATATAGGAGTTGAACAGAAGTTATTTAGGAAAGTTAGTAAGGAATGAAGTTATTTGATGGGTAAGCAATAGAGAAGTCTTTGCTCACCATCATGAAGCTATCGCCTGATTCCCAATTTCTATTACTAATTCCTAAACCACTAGTACTCAGTATTCTAGCCAGTATTTTCTCCTTGTTGTTAAACCTATATGTAGTTTACTCTAGGCAGACACAAATGATGCTTCCTTTTTGGAACAGAAATTTCCCTCTGGTGCAACACTGGGCTACATGAAAAGAAAAAATATATATTCTGCAAATAATAAACATTTGTAAGCAATTGACATCTCAGACAAACTTTCGTTAAAAATACAATGTGTTCTAGTGACTGAAAACACAATGAGTAGAGAACATTTTGCAAAATTTTTCACCATCATTGTTTCCTCCCCTCCTCCCCATTTTCCATAGCATGCTGCAGATTATACAGTCAGTGTCAAATAGAGTATGTCACCTATCTACAACCTAAGGCCAATTTATGCCTTCAAATGATATTTCATTGAGAGTTAAACAAACAACTGAAGGCAGGATTTGGTGTATAAGATATTTAACTTTTCTCTTTTAATGGCAAGAGATTTACAGTCATGAAGGTGTTCTGTATGCAGCAGTTAGCGTTCCTTCTCCTCTTGTGACATTCCCTTCAAGGCACAAAAGATTACAAACAGTGGATGGGACAGAATATTTTAAATAAGAATTTTAAGGTCCCACAACACCGATTATTTCTGGCTTAAGCATACCAGAGGACAGAGGACAGAATAAACTACCCCTAAAATGAAATGGTGCTTAAAGTCATCTGAAATTCCCTGCAGTTATTTTTTAAGTTTTTAAGTTCCTCTTTTATTGGCTTAAACCATAATTGTAGATTTGATTCTTGTGATTAATGTAGCTTCTCATCAAATATTGTGTTAAGTACTTCTAATCAACCGGTATTACTAATTATGTATTTCTCTGCCAAAAAAAACCTGTTTTAATTGGGTCAACCAATAACTTATGCTTGACTAGGATATAAATTGAAAAGTTACGCTGTAAATTTAAACAATGGATTAAGTGCAATGTAGTGAAAAACTCTTCGATAATTATCTAATAGGTCCCCTAGGCATCTCCAACCCAAATGACTGTATTTCCTTTCTCAACTTCAGTGATCTCACAGTTTAACTTATTGAGTCGTCCATCTAGTATAAAGAGAGAGTCCTTGGAAGGGGTCATCAGGTACTGACCAAACAGGCCACTGTCCTGGATCTGCCTGTTCTTTTGGTTCCAAGGCCATTCTTCTGCCTTCAGTGGTTCCTTGAGGCTCTTTATCATTTTAACCTTTCCGGAGGAGAGTTCCACAAAGAGCACATCTGTCTGTGTGCTTGAGCTTCCATAGATGTTGTACTGGTGGGCTTCAGTAAAGGATGGCTGAAATGCCAGATCAGATATGTGCAGGTTTGTGTGAATATCAAAAGCCTCCTGTACTTCTCCTCGAATGGTAATGTACTGGACCCTTACGAGACCTTTCACGTCATTAATGCTGACAAGATAGTGCCCATCTGGAGAGACATATGGAGTCCCTGTCACATCACCATTGAATCCAATGACTGAATCAGTCACACTGTCCACCATGAGCTGTGGTGGAACAGCCCCAGTGCTATCAGGTTTGCAGCCAATAAAATAGTACCCTCCCAAGTGTGTATATGCCAACGATTGAGGAACGCACTTAGAGTCCTTTAAATTAATTGTCTTGATGTACGACATGGTTTCAAGATCGATTTTTTGTAGTGCAGCTTCATCTTTATGAAGAATAAATCCAAACCTGAAAATATAAAAGCCAAAGTTAGACAGTAAGCTATAGATGGTTCCCATATAAAACGCACTGTGAACAGGTGGAAAGGACCATCGCAGGTCAAGGCACTGAGTGTCAGGCCATGCAACAATTCATGTCACAATCATATTAGAATTAAACTTCAAATTGTACTACCCTCCTTTCACTAGGTTATTTCTCTTTAGAGCCAAATGTTATAACTTCATACTGTAGAAAGCAAAGTAATTAAAATTAAAAGCAATACATCTAATTAATTGGAACAACAAATTTTACTTCTACCATAGAGGGTAAAAATATAAATATTGTTTTGTATGTCTCTAAACCTTCTGATATTGAATAAGCTTGGTTTACTGCTGCTAAAGCCAGCAAGAATAAAAGGCTTGAATATAGATCTCTGTCACTCAGTTCATTTACTTCTGATACTGTCTTACAACTATCAAATAAATTTGATGCTCATCACTAGTTAGATAATTTTGCACATCTTTCTCATTTCAATATGTCTCACAGGATCACTTTAATAGATGCAGATTTTTTTCTAGTATGAAATTATTAGACTTTTATTTATTACATCTTAGAATAACCATATTTCACTACCTTTATGATATTAGCACCTACTGCAAATCTTAAATATGTTACATTTTTCAACCTTGTCATGCTTATTTTGTTATCGTTTTTAGTGATACACCTGCATTGTATTGGTTATCTTATACTGAACAATGATGAACTTTGGAGATTTATGACATTTTTCCATTAAAGTCAGTTTAAAAGTAATTTTTTAAAAAGTTGTTTTGGAGGCCCCTTTAATTACTTCAGTGCTTTTGAAAGCATTTGTCTTGAATACTACCTGGAAATTGTCAGAAATCCCTGTGACAAGTGTAAATATATTTTGAAACCCTGACCTATAGCACTAGTGGTTTCCTAGCAGAAAGAAGTAAAATTAAATGAGATTAAAACTACTGTACAAAATTACATATAAAATGGATTTTGACCCATAGAATTGTGATTTTTATTTTTGTTTTTGTTAATATTGCTGATTAAAATATCTCCTAATATTTCCAAAAGCCCTATAAAAATAAATGAGATATATTGTTACATTTTTATGTTAACAAATGAGAAAAGTTAGTAAATGATTTTCTTGTGTGTTAAGACAAAACAAAACAAATGAAAACTCTAAAGATCACCAATTATGTTTCATCACCTGTGCAATTCATTTTCAGTATGCTAATTCTTATGGTTTTATTTATGTAAAAAAATGACCATTTCTACACATAATACAGAAACATGATGCATTCAGGGTAATAGCTCCTTAAAATTTCAAGTATAAGTATATGGCGTGCACAAATATATAAACTCACAGAAATAATAAGATCTTCTCAAAAAGTCAGTCTTGTGTTTTAACTGTGAAAGGCAGGGAATGTATAAGCATAAATATTTTACTGAAATAGATATAAAATTGTAATTGTTTCTATGTCATTATATTATGTATAGTTGGGAAGCCATACTGTAACTTTAGCTATATTTGAACATTCGAGAAGACTATTTGTTGTCATTGGAGAGAATACAAATTCTTATATACAAGAGAAATACTACAGTGTATAGCTAGTCCTTTAAAAAGATTTCTTAAATATTTACTGAATAACTATTAAATACCAGGTATTGGGAATATATTGCAAAACAACTCTGTTTCCAATGCGTCTAGAAATTTCGGGTAATAAAGTAAAAAAATATTAGTGGTTAATGCTTAATTATAGCATTCTGCTATACTATTACTAATTTAATAAATACTACTTTTTCTATATACACTTGAGGTGGAATAAAGTAATCATTTTGAAAATAATCTTTCTGGTATGTTTCAGAATGACATACACCATTTCTGGCTTATTTCCTAGATCTTTCTCTTTTCCTTACTGTATTTGTGTCCTTACCTATTTGGGATAACATTTTAGTCTTGATTACAGTGGTATAAAGGGACAGTCATATAGTTAATAATCACTTCTAAATGTTTCCATTAAAGTTTTAATGTCTAGTGCAGGCTTTAAATACTATCTGAATATCAAATAATTTTTAAAAAACAAACTGAAAACTTAGTCCCATTATTTTTGTGTGTCAGCATCAAAAATATAAAATTCTAAAAATCACTATCCACTCTCATAGGTGTTTTGATAAATAATGAACTTCAACCATTATAAAGATGTGCTTTCCCATTAATGGATAATCATTTAGGATATGTAAGCGTGCAGATGTATGATTGTGTCTGGTATTATGAAATTATTAAGTATTCTGGAAGACATTCTTCTTTTTTTTCTGTTATTCATTGTACTGTGTTCAGAGGCAAAAGCAGTAATATGCACTTTTAATCAAAGCAGTAAGCCAATCAAGTTTTGGCATTTCAGCTTGCCTCTTAAACTTGAGTCTTCTAGTCTCTTTGGGCAATGGTTTTTGAATGCTAATGAGGAAGAATGAGACAAGTTCTAACTACTCTTGAACTATTTTAGCTCTGATACTAAAGAATGCATTCAAGTTTTCCATGATACAATCCTGCCTCTTTTGGAGGTAATTACAATTTTTAAAAAGGGTCTGGTTAAAAATGCAAAAGCTCAATGTGGGGTGATAAAATTACATCTATTTTGGCATCCACACTGTATGTTCCTTTAGGACCAGAGATCTAGCTACATAAGCAGATGCATGAAAAAGCTGTCAATTTTTCACTACTGATTTATTAGTAGGAAGTGGTGCCTCTAATTTAAAATGTCCCCTAGTACAGATTGATATTCAGAAGTCTCCCACTGTTCATTAGTCTGTGATTAATATTTACCAGGCTCTCAACTTTCATGCCTGCTTAGTATAATAAAATCTTGCACAGTGGTGCTAGGTGTAACATAGTTTGTCTAATATTTGTCAGAAGGTGTAAAGGAAGTTCAGACTGTAAGAAATTAGTTAAAACTTACTCTTGAAATCACTTCTTTTACAAGGCTATTCATGCAGCTAGGAAGGCGTGCCCTTTTAGCACGACATTGTGTGGGTTTGTTACATTTGGTGAGGAGAGTTAAAGAAAAATTTTTCTTCCCCGAATTTTTTTATTTTATGAATGTTTAATAAATCTAGTTCATCATAAAGTTTATTAAAAGGTTCAGCTTCCCTGTTTTTCTACTTTAAGGTGAGATCTGATGATTCATACACAGAGAACTTGTTTTGGATGGAGTAAGGGTTTTCAGTCAAGGTTTAGTTTCATGAGACAGTGTTTCAATATAATGGATATATGACCTTACATAAAGTCCTTGACATTCACAAGTTGCAATTTCCTCATCAGCAGGAAGAGGATAAGAGTACCTCCCTGCTTTGTGGATGACAGTAAATGTATGTTTATTACCAGGCAAATAGTACATTCTCAATAAATAGAAGTATCCACTCTTGATGCTTTGTACTTGAAGTAGTATCATTTTCCAATTATTAATCAAAGAAGATATCTCCTATAGGATAACAGAGATTCATGGATAGGCAAAACATAAACAAATGATCAATTTTTTTGTATAGTCAGTATTCTCACAATGTTCAAAAGCAGCATATAGTGTTACTCGAATATGGTGATATTTTTTTCCATTTGCAAATGCAACAGAGATCACATTGATAATAGAAATTCATGTTTTTATTCTCATTCTCACTTGTATCAATAGGTTCTATGCCCAGTCTACACCTTAACCGATCACTAGATCTCTCACATTGTTAGCAATGAAGGCAGTCTAGCTCACTCCATCTTCTTCAGGGGGGCTGCCTCAGTTCTTACTGAGGTCATGGAGCAGCAGGCCATGGTGTGCTGGGTGAATCTGAGCTCTGCACAGGTGATAGGATTTGAGAAACCTGTCTTACTTAAAAGTTTTGACTAAAAGTAACAGAAAATGTGTGACTAACTCTAGGATCTGAATATCTTGGAGCATGGAGGGTTGCAGTGTGAGTCTAGGTAATGGTAATTCAAGAGCCTTGCCAAGAAGGGAAAAGAACAGTTATTTAGAGAGAAAATGGTCAAACACCATGAACACCTCTACATCCCACAAGATAAGGCTACATTTCTTGAACTTAAGTAATGAATGAATTTCCCATATCTCTCCTTCAGATAGTCCCAAAAGGGCACACAATCTCGCAACACCACTTTCCAGTCACTGTCACTCCACAGCATCTGCCGTGTTACTCTGCTCATGTTCTGCTTTCAAATCATTCACCTGAAATGCTCCAGAAGGAATCTTGTGGTTGCAATTAATGACCTGTATTATTTTATCAAGGTTTGTGCCAAGAACAGACACCCCCAAGCTTGGAGTGAAAGAGCCTCATAAGATTTGCAGAATGACAATTGTTTTGTATTCTGAGTTTTAATATAGAACAGCTCTCCTCAAAGTCCTCACAGATTCTCACCTAAACAGTTCTCCTTACTGCTGACTTTTAATATTTAGCCACTGAGGATCAATCCTGTACTAGAAGCTGGGAAGAGTGCTTGATGCCTCATCTCAATTCCTAGATGATCTCTTTCCTCAAAACCTATTATCTGCATGCACCTCCTCAGATTTTAAAACATTGCTTTTCATGTATATCAATGGATGCAAATGGGAAGTAGTAAAAGTGGAGAGTGCTGTATTTGATCACTGAATTAGTCAGACCCTCTATCCTGTGATAGAAACATTGCTGCAACCCACATCTAAAACAAAAGCATTTTCTCACACTTTTCTGATGTCTCCATTGTAAAAACCCTATTCTTTGAAATAAAATTCTGGAACAGCCCTAAGAATTAGTTGTATTGGGATTTTACTTGTGAAAATCTATATCCAAAACAGAATCAAGTAATTAGTACTTCATAAATAATAGTGGGCAGGATTATCAACATCTTGTTTTTCTAATCAGAATATAAGTATCCTGTTTTCCATTTGGAATGTAAGAAGTACTTAACAGATAAAAAACTAACATTACAATTTTCTCTCCATGTAATTAATATATAACACCCC